CAACTCCCAGGTTAACAGAGGGAAGGGTGTGTGTTACTCCAGTCAAAGGGAGCAGCTAATGAAGAGGAGGTGATGACAGCAACACTGGGCCAGCAAGGTGGCTCGTTAGTAAAAGCACTTGACAGCATGAGTTTGAGCCCAGGAACCAATGTAAAGGTGGAGGGAGAGAAGCGACTCCACAAAGTTGGCCTACACACACACACACACACACACACACACACACACACGAATAATAAAATTTTAAAAATTAAAGAAAACTGGTAACAGTCAATAAACAAATAGCTAAATAAGAGAAAAATCTATCTATCTCTGGGTTGTTCGCCCTCCTCTGTACCCAGAGGTCTTGTCCAGTTTCCTGCTCACTTTCAAGCCTGTTATTTCAGAAGCCTGTGATTACAAATGAGAGGTATGGTCCTAAATGAGAGGCTGCCCCGGGAGAAGCCAGCAGACCCGATGGGAGCAGAGCCCTGGGGCAAGGCTTCCTGACAGGCTGCAGCATGCACGGTTCTGCAACAAATCCTCTCTGTAAGCAGATCCAACTGTTCATTCAACTTACACAGAACTCTTTTCCAAATCTTGTCAGCCTACTACGGTCACCACTTCTAGGCGAACACTGTGTCACCAACTCCACTGAGGAAAATAAGAAAGCCAGCTTCAGTTGAAGCACCTGAGAGGTAGGAGCTTGCGAGACGTTAGAGACGGGATGGTTTATCAGACACCTGGTGTTGACCCTGCACCCCTAACACACACCAAGGGCAAACAGGTTGATTTCATGATTCCTTCATATTCAAGGTTGACATTGTGGAAAAAATGAGTGTAGACCAGGCATGGTCAGACGAGGCTTGAAGCAGTGTGGTAATTCTTTGGCTAATTTGTAAGCAAAGATATGTATTTTTTCATTTTGAAAAATATTTGCCTTCAGTATTTGGTAGAGAGTTTACAAAGGCTGTCTCTGGCCTGCCTACAAATATGCCCTAAACAGATCATATTCTATCCGATGGCAAATCTACAAAGACCAGGTTACCCATTGAGGATAACAAAACCAGTTGAGTTTAGGTTGAAAGAGGAAGCAATTTTGGTATTAAAAAAAAAAAAAAGCAGAGGGCAGGAACAAGGCCAAAGTTGACTTTATGAGCTAATTAAAATATTGGCAGGTCAAAGGATTTTATAAAAAATTATTGGAATACAATTCACATAGCATCAAATTCACCCATTTGAAAAAAAATTTTTTTTGGTCTTTTTGAGACAGGGTCTCCCTGTAGCCCCAGCTGTCCTGGAACTCCCTATGTAGACCAGGCTGGCCTTGAACTCATGGAGATCCACCTGCCTCTGCCTCCCAAGTGCTGGGATTAAAGGCGTGCACCACCACGCCTGGCTTCACCCATTTAAATTTTAATTCAGAGGCTGGAGAGACAGCTCAGCAGTTAAGAACACTGGTTGTTCTTGCAGAAGACCTGGGTTTGAATCTTAGCACCCACATGGCAGCTAAAAATGGTCCATAACTCCAGTTCCAGGGGATCCAACAACCTCTTCTGACCTCCGTAGGCACTGCACGACACGGGTGCACTTACCTACGTGCAGGCAATACACGCACACACATAAAATAAAAATAAATAAATTTTAATTCAACAATTTTTAGTACAGTTGCAGGACTGTTTGACCATCACCACAATTTAATTTTAGGATGTTTTTATCTCCCACCCCTAAAGCCCGGCTCCACTACTAGTCAGCCCCATTTCCGTCTTCCCCTGTTTAGTCCTAAACGCTCTAACTTTCTCTCTTTCTATATTTGTGTATTCTGACACTCGGTTTAAATGTGTTTATATAACATGTGGTTGTGTCTCTTTCTCCTGTCATTTAGCATACAATCTTAGTTTCATACACGTTCCAGCATAGGTCAGAACTCTATTCCTTTTTATTGTTAAATAACTTCCAATGTATGGATATACTACATTTGACTTATCCATTCATCAGATGATGACTGTCTTAGTCATTTTCTATTGCTATGATAAAGACACTGACCAAAACCCACTTGGGGAGGAAAGGGTTTACTTTAGCTTACATAGCTCCTGGGTCACAGTTCATCATTGAGGGAAGTCAGGGCAAAAACTCACAGCAGGAATCTGGAGACAGGAGCTAAAGCCAGACCATGGAGGAAGACTGTTTACTGGCATGCTCATGGCCCATGCCCAGGCTGCTTTTTTATACAACACAAGCCCACCAGCTCAGTGGTGGCACTGCTCACAGTGGGCTAGGCCCTCCCACATCACTCAACAATCAAGAAAGTGTCCCACAGACATGGCCACAGGCCAATCCAATCGAGGAAATTCCTCCACTGAGGCTCCCTCTACCCAGGTCTGTTAAGTTGACAACTAAAGGTATCCAGCATAATGATATTCAAGGTATTTCTAAGTTTTGAGTATTCTGAATAACACTGGCAACTTTTCGTGGGAATCTATATTGTCATTTCTGTTGTGTAGCTGCCTGAGTGAAATTGTTAACTCATGGGACCCAAGTGATTTTTCTTTTTCTTTGCTTTTTTCCCCAGCCTGGAACTCACTATGTAGAACAGGTTGGCCTCAGTCTCACAAAGATCTGCCTGCCTCTGCCTCTGCCTCCCGAGTGCTGGGACTAAAGGCGTGTGCCACCATGCCTGGCCCCTAAGTGATTTCTCAAAACTGTGAGCACAATTACAAGAAGGTATCTCCAGTACACACGAAGAAGAGGGGCATTTGCCACGTCTCTACTCCCATCTTTCCACCCATCAACAAACTCTTTCATTCTTCATCGTCTGATGTCATCCTCAATATGCCCTCTGTATATGCAAAAGACTTCAAGGTCTGCTACAGGAAAGCACCTCAGAGACTGATGGAGTTTCCAAAGATGTGTCCTAACCATGCGTTCAAACAGATTGAACTACAGCCATCAGATTTGTAAAGGTCTGCAAAGAAAGCAACAATGTAATTTCCCTCAGTTGTCTAGCAACAAAAATATCTTTAAATCGCTGGCACCAGGGCACCCATACACACACTATACAAATACTGAAGAACGCTGCTGAGGTTTTGAGATCAGTCTGAGACTTCCCTGCATAAGCCAGCTGTCTTGTCACTGAACGCCAGGTCCCTCAATGGCAACTAATTTTATGCATCCCCTGAACTGCCATGTTCTGGAATACATTTCCATTTTGGTATAACACAGTAGATGAAAATGTGGGAGAGTTCTGAGCCTCTCCTTGAAGTGTTTTTCTTTTGCTGTGGTAGTCTGGTAGACTCTATTTTCAGAGTCCATAGCAGTACCGCACAATTTAACACTAAGAATGTTTGGCTGTTGATGCTTCTGTAACAGCTCGGACTTTCTTTTTCCTTCTCAGTCCCTCTGAGAGAAGCCTATATAAAATGAGTAATTACTGCTGAGGAATTGCTGCAGTCAGCAATGCCTCCTAGGAGCTCTATTTCCTCCTCTCCTCCTTTCCCTCCCACCACAAACTCTCCCACGTAAGTTGAGAATTAAAGACACATCACTGGGATAAAGAAATCTGACCTAAAATAAGTGTTGCGGCAACAATGGTGAGCCAGCAAGAGGATTAACAATCATTTCCAATGGAGCTGAAAGGTTAGATGATCTGACTTTGAAATGAGCCAACTCTGCACACTTCCATCAGACTAAGTCAGTTTTTTGCTTTTCCTTCTAGAGGCTCTGGGCCTCCCCTTATCCCTATGTGCCCCAAAAGCACATAAGCAAGCAACTGTGGAAATTTACTAAAAGCTGCAAGATGAATACCATTTTGTAATAATTTTCTTTTTTTTAAAAAAAAGTTGATTTATTATTTTTATTTTATGTGTATGAGTGAATTACCTGCATGTATGTAAGTGCAACCGTGTAATGCAATGCCCAAGGAGGCCAGAAGAAGGCATAAGATCCCCTAGAACTAGCATTACAGATGGTTGTTAGCCACCATGTGGGTGCTGGGAACTGAACCAGGGTCTTTTGCAAGAGCTGTCAGTGCTCTTAACTGCTGAATCATTTCTCCAGTCCATAATAGTTTTCTTAAACTTCACCTTGATTAGGAGTTACTGTGATTTCTTTTTCCCTAGAGAGGTAATCCCTGAGTACTAACATCTCTAACACATAAACTTGAAAAATCAAAGCAATACAAAAAAATAAAAAGAATGACAACTGTGTGTTATTTTGTGGGAAGATCTATCCTCTTAAAAAAGCAAGGTGATCATTTGCCCATGATCTAGGGTACTGCTGAATCACAGAAAGAAGAGGCCATCACCTCTGATGTCCTTGCACTGTTTCTGTACCTGTAAAGAGAGTGTGATGAAAGGACCCAGGGACCAGATCATGTGTGCTTCCAACAGTGCTGAGCCCTGAGTAGCCATGAGCTTGGTTCACTATTTTTACCATCACCACCAAGACCACCGCCATCTTAGAGACGCTACCTCTGCAACAATAATGAACTACCCTCAGGGTCTTTCATGGGAGTGCAAAGGACCGCCCCCTTTGCTCTGAAGTTTCCCCTGGCTCATCCTTCAAGAGAAATAAAGGTTAAGATGAAGCAAGGTAAGAAGACAGAAGCATCTGGGCCAAGATGAGAAGACTAAAATTTAAAGTTATAGAAAAATGAGGCTGAGATGGCTCAGCAGATGGATGTGCCTTGATGCACAAGCCCAATGACCTGAGTTCAAGTCCCAGACCCAAAGACGGAAGGAGAGAACTGACTCTGGAAAGCTGTCCTGACCCCTACACACACACACACGCACACACACACACACACAATATATATATATATATATATATAAAATAAAGTTACAGAAAAATGGCAGCTCACAATTATTTTCAGAAGGTGAAATTCTTTCTGACCAGGAAAGGGGGAAAAGCCAAGGAATCTTTAGAGAAAGAATTCTAAAGTGACCCAGGTCAGAGAGCAACTGTTGTTCTAAGCCTTGCTCTCCCTGTGCTCATGGGCATGGGCAGAAGGTAACACATATACCTACCTCTCTCTGTGGTTGGCCTGGCCCCTGGTCTGCAGCACGGAGGTTTAGGACATGAACTTCCTGTGGCAGCCCGGTCGTGCCTCTGCTGGCACAGCCCGACAGGACGGTGAAGCTCTCCATCAAGGCCTGGACAGGGTGAGAGGCATTGATAGGTGACAGTTCACACTGGGCCCTGGGCTCCAGACCTGTCAACAAAATCACAGATATAAGCCGCTAAGTGAGAGTGGATGATTGAGTCACTACCAACCCATCTGAGGAACCTTTACAAGTAAGTTGCTTCCAGAACTCAATGATTGAAAAGCTTCCCTAATCATCTAAAATTCCAGTCTCTTTCTTGTATTTCTTTTGCATAATTTTGGTGTATGCTTGATTTTTAAATTATCTTTAGGTTTACAAGTCATCATGTATCTCTTCAGATGGAGGACACCTTCCATTTAACATTAGTGTTCTTTCTTCTCTTGGAGGAAAATCTAATGTAAATAAAAAAGTGTTTAAAGTCCAAATAGTATGGGGCTAGAGAGATGGCTCAGCAGTTAAGAACACTGGCTGCTCTTGGAAATGATCTGGGTTTGATTAGCTGCCACACGGCAGCTAACAACTATACATAACTCCAGTTCCACAGGATCCAACACCCTTTTCTGGCCTCCACAGGCATTGCATGGCACTTACATACATGCAGGCAAAACACTCATACACATAAAATAAATTTATTTAAAGTCTAAATGATTCCCTTTATAAATAATATTAAATATCTAAAATTATATACATTCCACCAAAATTGTATATCTTTTGGAGCTTTCCTTTATTAGGAAAGATAAAATAAACCTAAGAACTATACAAAGCAATGTAGTAAGAAGAGGAAATCAGGGCCAGACCTGCACAAGAAAGTTTGGGATAGAGGTCAGGAAAATCTTCCCCCAAAATACAGAAAGTAAGCAGACCTCCAAATAGGAAAAATAGAGCTGTGGCCATGCTTGGCTCCTGTTTCCTCATGTCCTCTTCCTCTAACTGACCAAGCTTTAGAGTCTAAACCCATCCATTCCTCTCCACCTCTATTTCCTTACTACCTTCAAACAATTATGAAAGTCCTAGGCCTAAGCTCTGTAAGCCATCTTCCATACAAAGGAGGTTCTGCTAACCTAAGGGAGTTCAACTCTACTGTTTTTCTGAATGTAAATGCCATCTCCTCCTATCGGCAACACCAGCTTGCTTAAAGATGTCCAAATGCATTTGAAGGTTCTCAACTCCATGCCTTTATTCAGGCTTGTCTCGTTGCCCAAACTCCTCCTCCACTCTAACCCCACCCCTACAGTAAATGCCCCAAGATGATGGAGGTGCTCCTCTGTCCCCCACCTCTCCATCTCCCCATAATTTCTCTGCCTATGTCCCCAGCTCCAATTACCCCAGTAACCACAGATGTATACATCTGTCACTGCCAGTCAAATGTGACCTATCCCATAGGATTACGCATCTTTGCGTCCTTAAGACTCCAATCCCACATTACACATCTTTGGTCCTTAAGACTCCACTATGGTACCTGGCATATAGCTGGTGTTCAAAAATGTCTTTGAAATGAATAACTAAATCATAGAATTTGATATATATTTGTCAGTGAGCAGGGCACTGTTCTAAGGACCAGTGTTGGCTACAAGGAGCTAACATTGAGAAACAGGTTGCTGCCATGATGTAAGCTACAATTCTACTACTTTTCAGCCTCATGCCATATTAGCTAGATTGATAAACAGATATTCAGAAGAACAGACTGAGATACTAAGGGAGTCCAGAAACTGTTATCCCAAAATATGGTACTTTGGTATGTTAGTGGTTTTAAACAAAAGGAATTCGAGTATCTTCTTTGTTTAAAGTCTGGACTCCCAAAGGAGAAAAAGAAAATGCCTCTGGTACCCTCCCAGAATTTTCATTAACTAAACTCACACAGCAGGCCAAGAGAGGTCTGTCAACACACCTGGACACTTTCCTCACACCCCACTGTCTTCTGTTAGTTCAGTTCCATATTCCAGGAGAATCATTTACAAACTACTCTCTGTCCTGCATGCCTGTCCCTTGCCAGTACATGTTCTCCAAGCCCACTGGGTTCTCCTGAAATCATTTTCAAGAGCATAAATTGCCTGCATTCCCCATTTCCCCCTAAAGAAATGGAGTGTAGATGCTTCTAGTGGTTTTGAAACTAGTGGTTAATCACACTCTCATGAGTTGTCCTCTTTCACAATAAATTTCTATTCGTTTTCTTCTATTTGATCTGTCTTTGTTGGCATATGTGAATGAACCTTCAGAAGGCAGAGGAAGGTCCCCACAACACTTCATCTTCACACATCACCATGAGCTTGCTGCACTGGCCCCATTTGGTAGCTAAAGATCCTGAGGTTTGAACACACAGCATCACTGAGCCACTGTCTTTCCAAATGGAACCCAGATAAAAGCCCTGGATGCAGTCCAGTGAGTTCCCTCTGGCTTCTAAGGAAGAGTGTTCTCTAGAACTGCAGCCTCAATTGAAAATGTCATTGTAGTTCTGACCCAGCCACTCCTGTACCCCAACGCTATGTCATAAACAGATACCATGCCAAGTCTATTTCAGAACTCAGAGAAATTATCTAGGTTGATAACAGCAATGTGGTCTGAAATGAAGTATGTGCCTTTCAAATAATCACCGTCACTCTCTACTGCTGGACTGTGCCCAGCTGCTTTCTGAGAAGGCAGGAGGTGGTGAAGGAAGAGGCTGTGGTAGCCACAGCAGGAGGTGGATTTCTGGGTAGACCTTGGAGTCTCAGGGAAAGTCTGCTCCTATTCAATTCTGGGGATACACATGGTGCTGGAAAACCCTCTGAGTCGGTGTCAGAGTCTCCTGCCATGAATTTACAATTATTCCAAATTAAGCACCAATGAAGTACTTTTCAAGTTCCGATTTTCATTGTTTTCATGCTCTTCTGTTATTTGACCCAAAGTACAACTGACAAGAGGCCTGCTATCTGCTTAGCTTTCCACCTCTCTACATCCTCCTTACCCCCTCAAGGTCTTTTGCACAGGAGCAAAGACTCAATGGGACCAAATTAGATGACAAGGTCTCACCCAGAGAGGGTGGGTAACAGAGCAAGAAGTTGCCAGCGCCAAGAGCAGACACTCTGGCTCACAGTCTATGGTCTCTGTCCTGATGCAGGCCAGGAAGGCTACCTCTCTTTCCTGGGCTATAGCTTCTGTCCAAGGTCAAAGAGAACAATGCACACAGTATACTAGCTGTGCTGGTTAGTTTTTGTCGGCTTGACACAAACCAGAGACACCTGGGAGGAGGGAACCTCTGTTGCGGAATTTCCTCCATCTGACTGGCCTATGGGTGTCTGTGGGGCATTTTCTTGACTGATAATTGAGGTATGAGGGCAAAGCTCACTGTGGGCAGTATCATCCGTGGGTAGGTGGGCCAGGCTGTATAAGAAAAATAGCTCAGCAAGTCAGTAGGCAGCATTCCTCCATGGTTTCTGCTTCAGTTCCTGCCTCCAGGTCCCTGCCTTGAGCTCCTGCCCTGACTTCCCTAAGTGATGAACTGTGACCTGGGACTTCTCAGAGAAAATAAAACATTTCCTCCCCAAGTTGCTTTTCATCAGTGTTTTATCACTGCAATAGAAAATAAACTAGAACACTGATCACATGGTGAGACACCTAAGGTTCCACCGAGGGCTATGTTTACATACGTTTGCTGTTGTGTTTGGGGATCGTCAAAGACCTGGATGCTGAAGACTTGGTTGCTTGTCTGTGCTGCTATTGAGAGGTGATGAATTTTTAGGAGATGGAACACAGTATGATTCGGAAGTTAGGTCACTGGGGGCATGCCCTTGAAGGGGATAATGGAGCTCCAACCCCTTCCTCCTCCTCTCTTTCTACCTCCAGGGCCACCCTCACGAGGTGAGCAGTGTCCTCTGCCACATGTCCCTGATATGACACAGCTATGACACTGTGTCCACACAGATCCAAAATGACAAGGCCAATCAAGCATGGGCTAAAAGCTCTGAAACTATGAGTCAAAAATAAACCTTTCTTCCTCTTCTTTACCTCAAGTATTTTGCTGCAGCAAAGAAAGCTGACTAACATAGTATAGAGTGCTCCTGATGGCCTAACATGCTGGAGTTTTTGTGGGCGCGTCTTGAAATTTTTTTCTCTGAGTTTGAAAATGGAAAAAAAAGAAAAAAAGAAAAAAAAAAACACTGTATGTGACTGTATGTGTGTGTGTGCATGTGTTTGCGTGCATGCGCGTGCACACACATCAGAAATTAGCTACCACCACCACCACCACCAAGAGTATATTAGAAAGCTGGAGAAATGGCTTGGTTGGTAAAGTGCCTGCCCTACAAACATGAGGACCTGAATCTGGGTCCCCAACACTCACTTAAAAGCCAAGCATGGTGGCAAGTAATCCTACCTCTGGGGAAGACACAGACAGGCAGATCTCTAGAGCTCACTGGCCAACCAGTCTAGCCAATCAGTGAACTCTAGGTTCGGTGTGAGACCCTACCTCAAAAAATAAGATGTTGAACAATACAAGAAGACACTGAACATCACCCTTTGGCCTCCACATGCACATACACATCCATTCACATGCATAAACACATGTACCACACACACACACACACACACATATACAAATAAATGAATTAATTTTTAAAGATGTATAGAAGAAATGGTATCTTCAACAGTTCACATACAGTGTCAGACTGACTCTTATACAATGAAGAAATCCTTCCCATTTATCTAGTCCCTACTGTTTTGGGCATTGCAGATGCTATGCACGATAAAGAAGTGTATTATCCGCATCTTAAAGCAAAGGAAGATACTCGCTCAATGACCTTATGTGACTGCTCCAGGGCCATCTGGGGCCTCAGACTAGGCCCTGCCTCTGGGCCCTCTCACTTAGCAGACAGTATTCTGAAGACCAAGGTTGAACCCTACTCTGCCCACACATTTTATGAGAATAAAAAAAAAAACCATAACACAGATGTAGGAGTAAGTTTCCTGGAGGCTTGTTACTTTCTCTGAAATGCATCCAAAAAAGAAGATGGATTGATGGCTAAATACATATCTGATAAAGTGACTATTGCAAAACGTTCATTGTGGAATCTGGATGCTCACCATACAATGGTTTCAACATCTTTGTATGTTGAAATGTTTCATTTTTTAA